GTGTATACAGCTGCGCCACTGACATCGATCCTGAGTCATATCACCTAGAGTCTCCAGTCACTGGTTCCTCTTGTCCTGTGGACACCAACCACCCAGTCTGCATTGCTCGACATGACTTAAACCAACAGTCAAAGACTTCATACATTGACGGCATGTTTTAGTCTGGCCGCCTCGGGCCTCTTCCCAGCCTGAACCTACTTCAGCCAACATTGTGTGACGAGACAAACAGCGACTAGGTATACGTAACACGTGTCTCAACCATCTCAGTCGATGAAGGTTCATAACCTCGTCAACTGACTTGCCTCTTCGCCATAAAACTCTACGTCTGACTTGTGCGTTACTCACGTGGTGACACCACAGAACTTGGCCTATACTACGAAGGCAACAGTGGTCAAACACTTGAAGCCTGCTCATTTCTTCCACCTTCAATGGCCATGTTTCACAGCTATACAATAGAACAGACCGAACTGCTGTGCAGTACACGCGGCCCTTAGTAAACAATCGGATATCACGGTGGTGCCATAGGTGATGTAAGTTGGTGAAAGCCAATCGAGCCTTTTGTATCCCTGCAGAGATTTCATCGGCCACTGAGCCACAGGAGGAGGGCTGATCCTACTTCCCAAGTAAGTGAAGTGGTCGACACACTCAACCACTATACTCTCTGTTGTTAGCCGTGGCATCGTTGAAGACCAATTGTGGAGCAACAACTTGCATTTGTGTGGTGAGAAACGCATACTAAACAGTCTCAAATTGCCACTCACCACACGACTCAGACAAATAGTAAGAAACACCACCGACTGGTGCCAGATCTTGGTATGGTCACCCCGAACACTCTTGAAACCTAATCCAATTTTACCCAGCATAGCACATCGATACAAGGCGGTAACTCGGCATGCGAAACACATGTCAAATCATCTCAGAAGATGAAGGTTCACAACCTCATCAATTAACTTGCCTGTCTTGCCTAGTACTCTTCGTATAACCTCAACATTGCTCATACGGTGATCCTACCAAACGCAAGCAATGCTACGAAGACAACTATGATCAAACATCTATGATCACTTCGTGTCTTCTACTTTTAACTACCATGTCTCACAGCCGAACGAAATGACAGAACCAACAGTAGTGAAGTATACTCGTCCTTTGATATATAGTCAGATATCTTGCCAGTCGGCGCCACAGATGACGTAAGTTGGTAATTACCAGACGGGCCTTCTGCATCCGAGCTGAGATTTCGTCAGCAACTAACCCGTTCCAGCTGGTGTAACTCCCGAAGTAAATGAAGTGGTCGAGACATTCCAAGGCTTCACCACCTATCCTTAAACTGAGGGTACTTGCAGCAGACCAGTCGTGAAGCATCTTCTTAGATTTGATAGGTGTGAAACCCATACCAAGCATATTCAGATTTCTTTTGAAATAACTAATGTTCCATTAGCGTCGAAATGTTACGGTGATAGTTTTTTTAATTAGTGAGGAAACTAGTAAAGGTGGGAACTGGAAAAGCTATGACTAAAAATAGTAGGCCAATGATCCATTTTTACTGTAGAAAACTGTAAGTTATAGTTAAATTAGTCTCTGCTACACTCTAATTACTGTCCAATGCCAGTTTGAAAGAGACTTTGACGTTGGCGTTCAAGACATGAGATGGTGATCCTGATAGATGAACTGCAGAAGAATTCAAGGATAATGATCCAGGATTACTAATTAAATTAGAGTAACAGCTGAGTTATGGAAATCTTGGATAAATCCACGGTTCACGAAACTGTAGGCCTTTTTATTCGGATTTATCAAGGTTTAGTAGGAAATGTTAGGTGATATAGCTTGAACTTCATAACAGTGGTGCAGATACATCAGTATTTTATATTTCAATGAATCCAAGACTCTTGTCTAACTTCACCTTTATATCCTCGGAGTGACTTCATAGATCACTCCAGCAAATGTTGGAATAACCATCCAAGTCTTGGCATTTCGGCTTGGAAACGTAACTGGTTATTTTGACAGTTGTTAGGGTGGGCTTAAAAATCACTCTTTTCGCATCGCCTATATTTTCTTTTCCTTCTGGTTATTTACTACTGAATTTGCATGTCTTTTGTGGTGATGCCAAGTGTAAAGTCGGAACTAAAACACTACTGCATCTATGTTCCTATCATTCCCAAACCACTTATTAAATGAGATCTGAGTTAGAATGACCAAGTTGAAGCGATTCACAAAGCTTATTTAGAAATTCTCGAACCAAATGTATTCCTATAAGAAGCTGGTGGATTTTCTGAATAGAACGTCTGTAGACTGTAAGGTAATACAAACAAACAGTACTTAACTTTTAAATTTCATGATGTTATGTGTAGGAAATCAAGGGAATCAAATATGTTACAATTATTCATTTGATATCGTAATGATTAAAATCTTCTAGGTTACATTTTGGATAATTTAGTTGCCGAACAGCAGGGAAAGCAATTAATCTGAATAAACATAACTATATGTGCGAATAACCACATTGTGGGGATCGTCTATGTGCCTTTAAGCAATTGTGTTAACGTATTCTTTAAACACACGTTCATCTTCTGAGAACTCGTATAAATCGTGTTTGTAATGAAGTGCTATCCTTAGATTCCGTTAGACTTGGTATTTAAACATTTTAGACAAACTATATGGATACATGTAACTGTCTCGGGCGATTTTGTGGAACAGTTTGGGAAAACAAGGTTTCGTGCATAGTTCTTTAAGTTTAGTTCTGCTACACGCTTTAGCAAGTTCGACTAGGATCTAAAATATATGTTGGTTTCCTTGTCTGTCTAAAGATTCCATCTACATTTTTTGAACTAGGAAATGACTCTATTAGAAGCGAAATAAAAGATGACAGCAAGACAGCTTCAGCTGCTGAATGGTTATGAAGAGTTGACTGATCGAGTGGAACTCTTTATTATGCATCAACTTCAGTCACACAGAGGGTTTTTATTTCATTCCACTTTAAGAATCATTAATGCTACACCACATAAATCATCGTAACTTTCGAGTTAAGCTTCACGTTTGACTTCAAAGGCCCCACATTTTTCAACTTCTATTGATTTATGACATAATGTGATCAACATTGAATGTGTTGAAGAATTTGTGTAATGCCAATAAAGCGGTACTACGATTGTTTCAAGCACTCAGGTTAAGGCTTCCCAAGCATCAACAAAATAGGATGGTATAAGGACGGTCATCCAAACTGTTACATGAAGACTCGAGAAAACTACATTTAGTCAAAAGTACTTACAAGTAAACTCGTTTGTAATCGGTTTTGGCGACAATGATGACAAGAAGTTTGAACTTGAACGCAAATAGTCAATCTTCTTGAACATTGTAGACGACAGTAAATTAGTCAATAGGCAGGTCTATTGGTTGTAAGTAGTCATTAGTCGAGTTGATGAACTAGTGACCAAACACACTAATCGATTTCAGGAAATGGTACAGAAACTATCTTTGAATGCTTCATTCAAAAGGAATAATGTTCTTTATTTACTTGAACTTGCACAACAAAATAACATAGTTGGTTTTCAGTGTTCTTTTTCATTGTTCACAAACCCAAATCGGTTTAGGGTCATATATATGGAGTTCACTTACCTATCCCAAGGCTAAAAATATAAAAAAAGCTGTATATTCAATTCACAGCGAAGAATGCCAGATATAGTAGTCAGTGTTTGCATCCTCCAAGTACTATATGAAGCAAGCAATTCAGTGAACTTACAGCTAAAAGCAAACAACTAGTGTTAAACAATGTCGAAAAAGGTAAATCGGGTTACTAATAGTTAATGTAATAACTGTATTCCGTTGGTGATGAACACAAATCTTGAAAGAAATCATTTAAATGTCTGAGTGATAGGAAAGATTTTAAGAATGAAATTATTTACTCATGACAAGAAATGCGCGCAGTAACCACATGACCACGTATTAAGCAAGAAGTCAAATTTACCATGTGAAGGCTAACAACATTACCTGGCTATCCAGACCTCGATAGAAGTGGGGTTCGAACCCTTAACTCGTCAGTTGGAGTTGAGTACCTAGACTAATGAGCTACAGCTCCATATAATTGTATAGTTATTAGAGTGTACACAGATGTAAATGCGTCTCATGATCCGATGTAAAAGGTATATACAAAGGACATTAGTTAAAAGTGCAATCACACCTTTAGAACGAACAGTCTGAGTTGATTTTCTAGTACCATTTTCAAAAACCAATAGGAGACACCTGTTATATAATAAACAGAGGAACTGTTGACTTAGAGTGGAATACTGGTAAAGGGAGACTCCAAATGTTATGCCCAAATGCCTCAAACGAAGACTTTCTGATGCAATGTCTTAATTTTAATTTTATGAAAATGAAAGGTCGTGAAAAAATTTCTGATTGTTATAATCGAGAAAACTAAGTGACAAACAAGGTGACCAAATAAACACGTTGTAGTGATTATTACCGACCTTCACATCAGATGATCTGTGGCATGCACGAGGTTTAGCAGGCTGAATAAAAAGGCAGAAACAAAAACTGCATTGTGATTGGCCATCGAAATTGTTAACCTTGAGTGGGTCAATCAAAATGCAAATACCGAGAGTTTCATTCGCCTCATTACAATTATTGTCGCAGAGCCCAGCGATGATAACTTTCTTATTTCGCGATTAAAGTATAATCTGCAGTGTAAGCTCTCCGAAAGAACTATGAACGTTTAGAGACAAATGCACTTAAAAGTCTACATGTCTATGTAGTTTGACTAAGCCATTAGTGAGTGAAGCGCCTGAGAACTTTCAATTACTTTCAAAATTAGAGCCCATGACCGTTTCAAAAGGTGCGAAAGCGAAGAAACTTCATCAAGCTTGAATCAAGGACGAGGATGTTTTTAGAAAGTCTAATCCATCGTCCCTTGCCTAGGCTAGTTTGTTACTGTTTACAGATACGTTTTATTACAAAATTTACATGTAAATATTAGTGTACTAAAAAAACAGTTAAACAAATGCATTTGGCGGTACCTGGCTAGAGTTGATTTTCCACTACCTGGAAGACCTCGTAGAAAGACTAGAAACTTTGTACTCCATCCACAACTATAGGCTTCATATATCACGCTGTCCAATCTCAGTATTTCAATGGAATAAGGGAAAAAAAGTTTTCCGTCATTTGACTTTTTTGAAGTATCGGGCACCGACATTTGAACTTCTGGAATCATTTATTAAACTTCTGTAGCCGAAATATAATGGTAGCTAGAAATTCAAGAACACAAGGCAAAAGTGAATACTTTTAGCTAGCAATTAGAAATTTCGGGCTAATAAGGAATGATAGATCCATTAGAACTTAACGCTTGGAAATCTTTTAAGACAATCAAGTATCTAAATAAAGTGATGAATACATCTCCAGAGAGACAAAGTTTATTTTAGAATGATCAGTGACAGGATCGCTCCAAAAAAGCCACTTGAGAGTTCATTTATCTAAAAATACGTTTTAGTTTATAACATAATTTACGTAAAAGAATTCTACATAATGAAAGCTCTGTTCATCTGAACATAATCAAGATATCCGGAAACTGTAATACGAAGAAATGATAACTCTCATTGTTATCAGACCATCATGTTAAGTAGGGAGGCAAAGTTTGGAAAGCTGGAATTCAGCTGATGAACAAAAAATAGCCCTAACCATTATATCCCCGAAAAAACTTCTCTACATTGTAAAAAGAATCACAATTTGTTATAAATCCATTTGTAATAAATATATATAATACGCTGTAACCGTCATTGTTGAGTGACTTGAATTGTGCTACAGATGTATAGGAGTTAGGTTTTGTACTCCTTGAAGTGCAGAGAAATTGGAAATATAAGTAGGCAAACAGTATCAAGTAATAATAACCACGTTTTCGAAAGAGAAATATAGTTGACAAATGCTGGTAGCCTGCTCCTGCACTACACTCCCAAACAGCCAAACACTTCAACCTTCTTCGTTATTTGTCAATACAGCTGTTGTGAAATATTTTCCATCTCTATATCTCAACGATACGTATGATCAGTTGGTAGGATGCAGAAACAATTTCTGCATAAACACCTAGGACTTTTGTTTTTTGCCCGAAAAGTAATTACTACTTATTGCTTGTCGTTAGCAAGAAAAATAATTTCAGTTTGTCAAACAGTGTAGTATTTCGTTGTAATTCTATTTTGCTTCAGTTAAGATGATTGATGCTGACAAATTGAACCGCGGTTACACGCTGCTATAATAAGAGCAGATAATTTAAGTGTATATGACAACTGAATCAAACAGATGTGAGAAATAGATAATTAGGTTGGATACGCTGAAAAACCAAGTATTCATCCGCTTTAGAAAGATATCATAGCTTGTCTTCTGTACTCAAAAAAACTGGTTGATTCGATATTCTTTGACGATGGTTCAGTTATCGCATATCCCCGGGAAAAAAGGTAAGTGTTCTATGTGGATTTGAACCGGAGGTCTACCCAGTAACTTGATTAACTCAAGAGGCGTTTATTTGAAAAATATGAAGGCTGTATTGACATTATGTGTTTTTACTTAACCTTGTAACAACGAACAGCTGTTTCGTCCTAGTATGGGACTCCTCAGCAGTATGCATCCACAACCCGATCAGAGATAACGACATGGAAATGAAGCAGATGCCAACTGAAGACATTGGACGATAGTCGCACTATATCGAGAATTGACAGAAGTAGGAAACTGTGAACCAATGAATTTTGACCCAGTGACTGAATGGTTAACGCGTACGCAGCGAAATCTGAAAGTCCTGAGTTTGGTACCTGGTGAAGTTGTGGCTGCGTACTGCTGAGTCCCGTACTAGGATGAAATAGCTTTCCAGTGCTCCCAAGTCTTCAATGATTCTCTAACTGATGTCAGTCCATGATGAATATTACCTTAAAATTAATATCCCTATTAACCTAAAACCATTTTCTCTATTTACTTACGATTCGTTCATTAACTTCTAAATTGAACAGAAATACTGGCTAGATATTTCTGTTCAATCTAGAAGATAATGAACGAATCATAAGTAAATAAAAATAAATTTTCAGAAAGCTGTACATGTTTATCATTCTGACATAGATGATTCCAAATAGCCTTGTGAGGAAAATTTTAAGATAACGAAACAAAGGTCAAGGGAATACTGAGCTGAGCTAAGCCTTTTTACTATTGCTTTTATTTAAGAGTAGCTTCTTTCAATGCTTTATATAACATCTGTTAGGGAATATCAGTGTTAAATACACTGAGTAGCTGATGGAAAATGTGAAAGTGGCCTCTCATATGGCCATTGAGGCAAATTGAAGATAGAGCGAAATTGAGAAGCTAAATAAGCGGAATCATGAAACTTAGAAACCATGTTCAGATTAGTGTATTCGGCTATGAAATACGTCTACTCTATGGGTTGTGATACTGATTGTGCATCCAAATCTTGGCCATGGAGTGATATCAGAATCTGTGATACAGTGACTGAAAAGCTAATATGTAAGTTTAAAATACAGGACCTAATCCATTCACACTAGCTGCGAATCTTGTTACATAGTGAAGTAGACAAAAAAGGACAAAAGTCACATGCCGAACATACATCAATTTCAATCGGACTTTTGGTGAGACTCCAGTCAATTTATGTCTTATAGTAGGTATCTCTGTGGGTGAGGAGATGCTTGAAGCACAAACGAATCTGTACAAACATCTCAGTTTTTGTTAAGCTGTACACTTCAGTGTTTTGAAACTAAACGTTTATGTATAACCTGGCATTCAACAGAAAAGGAGATTCAGAAAGACAATATTTAACACGTCTGGTAAAGCAGTAAGTAATAGGAAACCTGAGAAAAAAATGAGGAGTGGTGTTACAGGGTGTAGATACTTATGTAAGGAACCAAATTAAAAGATAACGTAATTGACCATCGAATGAATATAGCAAGAAAAAATCGCTATAGACGACGTAAGATGCATGTGCATTAGAAGATAAAATGTTATAACTTAGGTTTTCACTAGATGTCGCTTCAATGCTTTGAGCAGGTAACTGGGAAGATTCATAGGCACAGAAACTCCATACAAATGTTGCTCATGCATCCACGGACTCAAATTCCTACTGGCTGCAGATGTCAACTCTACTCTAGATACAGAGGACTGAGTAGTCAGTTAGTATCCCGAACCCTTATGTAATAAGAGCGGCTTGTAACTTACTACATGAACCCGTGTTTTGGGGTTTCATAGCATATTTCAAAGATGTTGAACATAGCAGTTCTGCTAAACACTCCATACGATAGATACATCTCCATGTCTCCGTAAGAAACAGAGCTAATTAGGTCATGTTTTCACGTTAGTGGTTGCAACTTTCTGTGAAACAACTTTTAGTGTGAAGTGAAAAACACTCCACTTTCCACTCAATTTTTCTTAACCAGTACACAGTAGCAGTCAAAAGTGGCTGGGGCTCATCTTGAAACCAATACCATTTCCATCAGTGAGGTGCACGTTATCAAGTAAACCAATGGTAGTTAAATTTTAGAATAGTGAGTCTACGAAAGGCTCTTATTGGAGTCAATCGCATCGGTGGTTAGTACGACTTATGAAATATGACAGGTTTTGTCGTTTACATGTACTCGCATGACCTGAATGTCTATCCCACTTAAATAATCAATCGCTATATAGCATTCAGATATTTCTACATTTCATTGGTTTAAACTTACGAGGTCATAGTGTGATAGACAGCCAAAAAACATTAGTTAATTTAATCAATTAGAGTTACGTATTGGTGTGTCAGAAAATAACCCCATAAAATGCTTGTTTGTTATGTCGATGGTAGTAGGCTTATAGAATTAAAAAGGCTGAATGGAAGCGGGGATATGATTTACTTCAGCTTAAAGTGTACTTCAAAGGAAATGGAACTGAATTGTTAACACTTCAGTCAGAAATTCGCAAACATGTAAGGCAAACTTCAAGTACAGTGCAAGTTGCAAACAGTAAGAAAATCAGAAACTGGAGGTGACAATCATGAGCACAAAAGTATAACGCAGTCACACTGTATTATGTATCTCTAACATATTTTGCTTGTTCTGAAAAATTTCATTGGCATTGTGCGCTCAGTATGCGGAGTGATATATTTGAACGTGAAGGAGAAAACGTGACGCATTGTGACCCGGTTTCGTACTAAGTGTTTTCTTGTGTTAGCAGATCTCCTGGTCAGTGACTTTCAAACAGATAGGAAACCTAGTTCGGAAGTTTCCAGCTGATAGACTGCAGGTATATAGCATCAAAATATAAAACTAAATGAATCATATACTAGAGTGCGAACAGAATCGATGACTTGCAGGAAAAAGCTGTCTGTACTCACACGGGAATTTCCGAATTCATGGTCACTGTAAAATGACTTATCAGAAATCGTTACGTCACGAAACTGCTTACTAATAAAAGTATGATCCATTCAAAAGATGTAGATTAACTCTCAGACTTGAAGTTCTAGAAAATCCACTAACTGCATTTCGTCTCGATGCAATAGGTGAGTCTTAAGCTTTCATGAAGAGTCCAATCAATGAATTCGTTCTTGCTAAAATTTGGTAAATTAGTTGCTAAGACCTTAGGTGTTTTCAGGTGGTCTCCTTTTAGGCTTCGTTGAATTATAGTCAAATAATCCTAAATATCATATCAAACGCAAAGCACGATGTTCCAAATCCTACCAGTAGAATACATTTGGTTCGCACTAATCCTGAATCAACAGAGAACAAGAGGATGTCGTCATTATTGGATTCGAAACCGCCAGACAAGGATAATCTGGAACGCTAGATGGAACATTTTGAAGAGCAGTTCAACTGACTTCTAAAGATGATTCAGTCACTTGGCACCTAACCACAACGAAATGTAGGTGTCGGTCCTACAAATCCTTTCAAAAGACTGTTTCAAACCTAAAACAATGCGATGCAGCAGAAGCTGAGTGTTTGCCAACAAAAGTCGTTAAAGATGATGATAAAGAAAAAACTGACTTAGTAGCTTGTGCATGAGAGTTAGGAGTAGCCTTGCCAAACTTCTCTAGGTCGTTGATCATTCCAAATTGTAAGAAACGTAGGAAATCTTTCTGACACAATCAAAATCGACTCAGTTTGACTACTGTCCAGAATTGCTGAGTTCATAGTCATCCGACACCGAATTGGAGCTGGAGAGCAACGAACTCGAGAAAAACAGACAGGTTCGAGAACTGGACGTGGATGGATTGATCAGGACTTCATCCTTCGACATTTTGAGAACTACAGCCATACCTACCCGCTCCCGAAATTTACTGTCCTTCTTGACCTGAAGGTAGCATTCGAGTACATCAGTTGAAATGTGTGGCAGTGTTTGACCATAAAAAGTAGTACCAAGTAAATATATTATGCCAATAAAGACTTTTTATTCTCAATCACACGGCCGTGTAAGCGCCAACTGATTGTTTTCTTTTGAGGTACCAGTAGTCGATGGTGTCTGCTGCGGATTTTCACTATCGTTGTCCCTACTTAGCTCTGTTAGCTATATGTTGAAAGTTGCTTTACGTATTTCCAACTTCCTGGGGAATTGACTTACTTCCGAAAGTTGCAAAGGTAATTAGGAGTACACAATACTCCTGTTAGGTGAAGACACTGATAAAATGCGATGTCTGAGGTGTGAACAGTGAGCTTAGAAATTCGTAGCAATATTTATGTGCGGTGGAACCACTACGAGATTGTCCACGTTACGCATGCAGTAAAAACCTAGAAAAAAAGACAGTCGATGACTTTGTAAATCTTAAACAATTGTGATGACTTCGATATCTTTCCACGCATGCGGAGCCAGCTACAGATAGAAACAGGTCGTGTAAGCCGGAGTCGGATTAGACTGAAGGAGGGATAAGGTTGACTAGGTGAAGACATGATACTGATTCATAAAGGCAGTATCTTCCAGCCTGTGCCGTGTTATAAGGTATAGGGTGGCGTTATTACAATGATAAGAATCAGTGGTTAACGAATCTTGGTGATATGGTTGGAAATCAGTCATACTGAAACAGATGGATACTCGCCTTATCATCTCTGAAATTTGGAACATTTTTACCAAGCTTCATCTATTTATCCCCCCTCTTCCATACTTGTTTTCCTCTTTGTTTTCATCCTCTATGTGGTGCTAACAATGGCAACTTGTACTGATACACTTCTATGGCACGTTCTACCTTGATATTTTGTATTGTGTCAATTAAGGTTGGTTATCTAGGCTTTTCGAAAAAATATGAACGTGTGGGATTGATTTTAACAGAAACATCCTTGAGTATGGATGCCCTGGCAAAATATTGAGTAGAATTAAGTGAAAATGAGAAGTTAAAGTGAATGTGAGAAAGACTACAGGTAGAAAATGGACTTATCGGTGAGATGAAAAGCTACACCCACGCTGATAATATTTTTAGTCATTATGTACAGCTCCTTTCTCCCACAAATAAACGAATTGTAGGTTTCTCCTAGCCAATTAAACATTCTACACTGTCACCCTTTATGAATGGATAAAACAAATGACGTTCAAATTGTTATTCATTAATGCTCGTTTCCGATGGAAAATTATAAACTACCACCACGCTTGTCTTACCCACAATATCTATGTATTTCTTTCGTATGAATGTCAACAGCATTGAAGTTATATATTATTCGATTTGTCTACCAAAGAATAAGCCTTGACAAATTCAGCGATTATTGGTCGAATCGTGATGGAGAGAGGCACGCGCATCTTTCACTTCCGAAATACCTTTCAATAATGTAAAGGTAAGAAGTGAGCCCAAAGCACTCTAATATTAGGAACACTACACAACATACCAATTCAGTAGCCTGTAGTAATAAGAATACGTTATTCAACTCCTCAGAATGTATCTGCTTTCCAACAGTTAGAATATAGTTTAATAAGAGCGATGCAAAGTCATTCACTGCGGATATATGAATGGATAGTCCTGTCATGACTCATCTTAAATGTACTGTTACAGTTAACTGACTGAGACAGGTGTCACTTCTTAAAGTGTCTATCACGTTTGAAAGTCATTCCATCTGCTGAAATTCGGACAGTACTGTGGTACCAGGCCTTACATATTAGAGAATGAATGCAAAAGCCACTCTAGCAACCGATAAAATAACCTATTAGGTCCCCAAATTTTACGAAAAGCACTACCTGTCCGGCCAAAATATAGAAACCTAACTGGTTATTTCAGCGGCCATCAAGGTGAACTTCAGCATCACTCCATATTAGGTGGGACGACTTTAAAGATCACCCTGACAATTGCCAAAATAACCAGTTAGGTTGAGTGAGGTATTGTGTCTGGGGTGACAATTTTTCATAGAAAAGGAAAAAAACATGATTGGTTGTTTTACTAGTTGCTAGGGTGGCCTTTAAAGTCACTCTTTTGGGTGTAGCTCGTGAACTAATAGCATGGTTTTACTGTAGCGCAATAATTTTAGAAGTACATCAAAACCACTTTGCATAAACGTAGTAGCTAATAAAATTTTGAAATAGAATTAAACGTTGAACTAAAATATATCAAAGTATATCAAAAGCTATTTCATTTGTGAACTGGAAACCTTTACAGTTGCATCCTTCTTGAACTCAGCATCTTTGTAAACCTCAAAATATCAGTTATCTTACTGGTAGAATGTAAGATGACAATAAATCTCCAGAATCTATGTACCAGAAGTGTAAATGAGATTAGTTTAGAGAATGCACGCTCAAATTCGACACTGTGATCATAACCTCAGTGGATTATGGTATAACTCCCTACCTTTCAGAAAGCGATGTCAGAACCTTATTTTTTATGATATAACATCAATGAAACACCAACCGTGTGTTGGGTCAGTATGCTAGTTAGCATACTGTCTGAAATAGAAAACACGCAATCCACCGACAATCAACGCAAGAGACTCGCGCAACACCCTACAAAACATCCTAAAACCTTAACTTTTAAGCAGAAGCACTACTATGATATCCTTTTGCGTTATGAAATGATTTCTGTTCGATGGAACCGATTATATCCTAACTTGCAGAAAGTGAGAAAGTGACTGAATCTAGAAAAAAACAGGAGCAGTGTAAAAAACTCATTACGCGTTCGAAGAACATAACCAAAGTGTCTATGGATATAGCAAATTGAAGAAATGATATGACGTATCGGATACACTCTGAATAAACAAATGTCACTGAGTGACATAGAAGTGATTAAAAAGCAATTTCTCAGAGCAACTGAAGTACTTGACAACACTAGCTTAAATCCTTGAGAAAGTATTAGTCCTCTTGAAATTGTTTATACATTTATTTGATAGGTATCAAGAAGGTGAAGACTTAAATCACAGAATTCGTATCGACTGCCTCTACTTTTCAGTAACAAATAAATCTGTGCTCTAAACTAATTTACCTTTAAGAGAAACAGTTGACATGATTCCTGATTATGAAACTGATACTTTCTAAATGTTAAGCTGTGAAATACGCAATAGTGTAACTTATCATATACTACGAAAGCTCAGGATAATTAATGATTTTCTGTAGTTCTATTGAAATCAGAATGAATACATATCTTGAACATAACTTACTTATTGTAGTGCTGGGATATGTTTGAAATAAAAGTTTTGTGCTTGACACTTATTGTGCAGTCGACATCAGGTAAATTTCTTACTATACTGGTGGATATCAATCGGACTTTTGAAGTATACCTACGTGCATGTATATACGTAAACACAGAGTTAATGTGACATGAATAAAACAGAAGATGGAATCTACATTCTAATACTAACCGCCACCAAAACATAAAGTATAATGAGACACAATGATAACCAAGGCGTCTGTAATAGAAGTCAATAAGCTAACTCAGACTGATCAATTCATTTCAGTAAAGTTTTTGCCGAAAGAAATCAGCAAGCCTATTTACTCTGCTACATTACTACTGTAATCAATGACACCATTCAACAAAAAGCAATAATAGTAAGTGCAGATCGGCCAAGCAAGTCTATTATAACAATTTTCATCATCATCATCATAATCAATAACAAAAGCAGAAAGGAAAACATTTACACTGGAAAAACTCTTTATTTGAAGCCTTTGTTTATTCACAGTATTTTGGGCTCCTCTAGAAATAAGTACGTACATTACACATAACCTTGACGAAAAGAAGCAGACAAAAAAAAAGATGAAGATGATTAACACAACAAGAGTTTTCCACCTTTTAAGAATCCTATACGACAATGGGGACCAAGTAAATCATAGAAAAATAGTTAGTAGAAAAAAGAGTCAAAGAAAGATATATCATAAGTACCACTGATTACACGATATATTATACATACCAGGGTTTATCCTTGGAAATCCTGGTAGTTGTGAAATATGAAAGATACATGCACACACCAAAACACGCAGGACACCGGTAGTTCCCATTTGAATACAATCTATCAAAGTAAGTGACCCCCTTTAAGAAATCAATATGAAAGGATTTGAATACATCCAACCCCACACAGGCGCTTGAATGTTCGAGACAGTGAAAAAGGACGAGTTTAATAACAGTAATAATAGTAACGCAAGTAAAATCACATGCTGTACAATGCAGAAGAAAAAATTACAGTGCATAGCTCAATGTTTCGCTGCGATAAGAAAATAGAAAGCGCTTGATAACGCTGATTATGGAATGACTGGAAGAAGTGGGATAACTAAACATTCTATGGAATACGCATCTATGCGAAGAAATCAGATTAGTAGTGGCGAGAAAGGGTAATGATAATAAAAACATCAGAACAATATTCATTAAATATGAATAGACATGAACTGGGCAGAAATCTTAACCAGTCGATTCGTTGATAGTAACGACAAGGACACTATGGTATCCGGTATGCCATATACACAAGTGTGGTCGTACGCCAAACATCGATAATAACTGTGATTAACTACAAAATAAAAACTAGGTTGTGTGTAACTGAAAATCTCCAATTGCAATGTTTTGAGATGCTTTTCAGATTTGAAAAGTAGGCACTAATGGTCATTTTAATAGTAATTAGTCTTAGTATACAGTAAAGAAATGAAAGACGCACATACAAAAAAAAATTGAGTGTTCACAAAATATGTGAAGGAACGGAGCGCTTCTAACAATGGAAAAATCATTCAATGAGAAAGTACAAAAAAATTAAAGACACAGAAGAGCTTATGCTATCACGTAACACAAATATTTAAATGGAAAACATGAGCAATGTCGGATGAACTGTCAATAGAATGCCTAAAAGAACAAGAGAATTATATGTTAACACAATTCCCCTCTTTTTTGTGTTATATATAATATTGTACCAAAGACGACCTCTTCTACAAAATTTTCAATATCTCTACACGTTTAAGAGACACAGAATCCATACATTAGAAAAATAACGACCCAATACGAAGAGGAAATATGGCATTGTATCATAGTACTAGTAACAGTAGTAGATGAGACGTTGGCATAGCAAAATGTACAAAGTAGGCGGGCAAATTTTCAGGGATCCAAGTTGCGTAAGAAGAAAATTGATTGATTTTGTTATTTTTCCAGATGAACAAGAAGAGGACAATGTGATCACAATACTAAAATTTCGTCTTGTGGGAATAATGGAGCCAGTATTACATGAACGTATACACAAACATGTAATGGAGTGAACTTCTGTACAGTTCAAACAGACAAAAACGCAGGTGAATTGATAAGAAACCTCCTAATTATGGCCATTAAAAGGATATTAACAAAACAAAAGTAATAATATTAGTAATAACATCACAAGTGCATACTTATCTGACATTAAAGCAAGTGACCAACAAAAAAGAATAGGGATATATCAAATTGAACATATAAAAAGTAAATAGTAGCAATAACAATAAGACAAGGAAATATTACTCTGCACCCATTCCATCAATAAAACGTACACGTACTAAGAAAAGAAAACAGTAGGCACTTATTACCGTTGCGGTGTATTGAAGAGAATCCTGTTGGTGGTGGTCACACTACGTCCATCAAGGCAAAACATGATATTGGCTTGCTCTCAAAGAAGTAAGAGATGAGACAAATTACAGAAGAATCTTTGTCTTTTGCTATCCATTGGAATACACAGAACAAAATTTCATTAGAATAAATATAGAAAAACTAGAGGAAAAGTTCGACTCAGAAATACATGGTAAGAGAATAATGTGGATCGGCGAAAGCAAAACCAGATTTATTGATCAGGAAGATGGAGATCTCATTGGGGGTTTAGAGTACATTGACAACTTTTATCCATTAGTTCATCAGAATGAATATAAAGATTAAAAATATTCAAAACTTCTGTTAAGGCCTCAAGATGCATTCTTTATATTCATTATGGACATGGGCCCTGGCAAAGCAAAGCAAAAACAAAACGATTTAAATTCATTCTTTAATAATACTGCAATAAATCTACAGTTTCAACGGTTATGATAAATGTAAGAGAATAAGCGGTGTGCGAGATTTATAAATGGTTACATAAAGGAGTCTCAGAAACCTTTTTTTAAGTAACACTTGCAGGATTTGAAGCAATAGGATGTTACTAATAGATTGTGACAGATTATCATAGTTAGGCAAGATCGAAAAAATGGTGGAAACACGTATATCCTACACCGTAAATTATTTTAAGAACAGAATGGCAGACGATTCTGGCTCTTCCCGAAGTATTCTACTTTTGGTTAGGGTTCATAGGTTTAGTCGAGGTAGTTAACTTACCAGTTAGCCACAAGATCGAATTACGCCCCACTCTTCAAGGTTTGAGCAGCAGATTAATATCCCAAGCCCGAACATAAGAGATATGGTACATTTTTGAGTGTATGAAAGTGCCTTTCAAGTTTTTATCTACAGATTAAAGTTAAGTATTTATCTGGACATGATAAAATGAACTTTCTGATCGAGTTCGACGTAGTAAAAGAAGTGAAGACATTAGAGTAACCTACAACCAAAAGATAGTTAACACATAAATGTAAAATAAATATCTTCGTAATGACCGTGAGGAGAGATGTGCGGTCAGAAAGATGAGGGAGGTATTGATGCTGTGAAATACTGGGTAGCCATCTAGATACTAGTACAAAAAAGATAACGGTATGTAGCATAATCACTGTGATGGGTGGATTCTTGACCTCTCCAAACAGGTGTTTGGCCCACAGCAATGCGTCCACTGTCTACAATCAAGCCCCAAGTTGGATGCGACGGTGTCAATCCTTCAACTCATATTGAAGTCGGGAAAGCAGTTTTGAAGCTGAAACAATGTACTGCAGCAGTACCTAGCAGTCTACCTCCGAGATGCCTTGGTAAGTGATAGATAACAACTAATTGGAGTAGCTATACTATACTGGTCATCTAATAAGCAACTGGAACTCAAGAACCACAGGCTTGAGAAGACCAGGCGACTTTTGGAACTGGATGAAGACGTATTCATCAGATCTTTACTCTTCGAAAGATCTTAATAACTTTTACTGCTACTACTCTTCTACACACAACATAATTGCTTTTCCGATCTCCTGATCAACATTGAATTTTAAAGTATTTTATGAAACATTCTTCTTCTGCTTTTAGTAAATGTAATATTTATAAATCATCATACAAGGTAACGATATAGCTGAAAACAGTGTCTTTTTGTTGAATGTTTTTGTTCAGCTTTGTGACTCAGCGGGAATTATTATACTACTCAAAGCTTCCTAATCCAACAGATTGATATATGAGGGATTGCCGGAGAGTTGATTCCTGAAACAACGACAACCAGTGATGTGGGTCATAGACATTTACTCTTACTATCTGTATTTATCTTCATTTGAAATAAGTCAATGGAGGTGGCTCTACGTACCTTAGAATACATACAGATTGACTTACTTCCCAAAAATCACCTGGTTAACTTGGAGTATGCATGCATAGTCCTGTTAGACAAAGACGCTAAAACAGTCTTTTGATCACTTCAATCAGAAATATAAGTGTGTTTAGCATGCGTTTCGTGTCTATCAAGGGTGAGGTGATGCTTCAAAAATTATCTGTACCGACTCCTTATTTGAGGTAGTGAAGTGATGGGATGGAATGATCGCACCACATAGTTGAAAATATTCACTATAAGCTGGTTGTTGAAGGAAACTCAGCTGGATTATATGAGATCCGTTTCATATTCGCTAACACATGTCTATTACTGTATACGCGAGGAGTCTAATACATCAAAATACAGGTATGCTGTGCGGCAGTCATTTCGCTTGCACCTCCAGCATTAAGTATAAAATACAGCTGATTATTCACACGCAGTCCCGTGCGTTAGACTACAATGAACACCTTTTATATGATGGCCAATGACAGCATTTGGTTGCAAACCTCAGGGGAGTGGAGCAACATTTGAAATCATTAGCTGAAAGTTAAGTGACAAAATCACTTATCTCAACCTTTTGAAACCACAAAAAATTAGTAAAACAGGATGAAATAGAAATAATAATGAAAACACAGTATCGTAGTAAGCTTACACAAGTTCGATTGTTTGGTGTTTCAACAGGCTCGACAGAATTTGAAGGGAAACGAACAGTTTGTGGATTCGGCAAAAATTGGTGGTAGCTTTCTGGATTTTGATCCCTAGAATTGAAATTTGATGAGTATGCAGATGAATATTCAACTAAGCTGGAGTTGTTAACTGCATTTCGAACTACAGTACCTTGTTCATTTCCTATATGAGATGAAAATTTATCTGAAGACCAGTTTCCATATAATTCTGTGTTTGAATATCTGCCCGGTATAGATGAATAAAATTCAGGTGCGAAGAAACGTCTATCACCAACTGAGTAATTTTCAGTTTGTGATGTATCTCGACAAATAGACTGAGATGGTGGATACTGAGAATGAGGTGAAAAATATTGGCTTGGATAACGTGGTTGGGAATAGCAAACAGAGTTTGAGTAGTATTGTGAAACTTGAGGATGTTGATTTGAAAAGTATGGTCCAGTGCTCTGCATACGACTTATACATGAATCAGCAAGTTCTAATCTAGGTCGTGAAAGGGAATGAACAGATTGCTGTATAGGTTGGTACATTGAAGGTGACATATGCATATTCGAAGTAGGATAATTTAACGACGGACGAGAAAAACAGGGATTTAAAAAGCGTTGTGAATCAGCAGTGGCCCATCGTTTGCCAACCATTTGCAGCTAGAAAAATCCAAAGAAGTATATGCAACCATTAAACGCACTCAGTACATTCGTATAGTTTATGACAATAGCATACAGTTGCATCAAAGTGCATTCAACATCAATAAATACATATACAAAAAGACAACTGCTCAAAATTATAGAGGTTAAAATAACATACGAACATGAACGGAGGCACAGCCAACGGAAGTTTAGACACTCAGGTAGTATCACTAGTTTCAGGTTGGAATTCATCATGAACCAACATCAGTTGAAGAAACATTGGAAACCTGAGAGCGCTGGACAGCTATTCTGTCTTAGTATGGTACTCGTCAGCAATACGTACCTATGACCCCTCCAGGAATTGAACCCGGAACCTTCAGGTTCCGCGGCTAGCACCCTACTACTGAGCCACTAGGTCGGAATCTAATGGTCCACATTTTCTACTCATGTCCGTTCTTATTACTGCGCGACCTTCATCCAGTGCCATCGTTGAAGTAACTGTCCTTACGTCCGATTTGGTTACTAAATAGAAATCAAAGATTAAATCTCCACAAACCTCCAAATTGAATACCATTAGTCTTTACATGATGGCTGTGGATTATTGTCTAGGGCACGAATCCACAAGAAATTATTTTTTAATCATGTAATATGGTATGGAAAAAGTGTTTGCAGCTAACTAAGAGCGCCTGTAAACCACAAAGCACAGTATAACGAATTAAGTTCAGCATGCCCTCAATGTCATAATGATCACCGTAGATCAGTGGGGATGGCATCCGCTGTTATAGTTTTCTTAACAACAAACTTCAGTACGAATCTATTACTGATTTATATAGAATGTTAGTTAATGCTAACGATAGACTTCGTTGGGGATAAGTAAATCAAAATAATTTATGATGAATTGGGCTAAAAATACGCTGTATTGCAATCTATGCAGTAGAATTAAGTTGAGGAAAAAATAGCTGTACTAAGATATATCACCAAAAAGTAAAGTCACTCATTATCAGTCTGAGGTGCATACGGGAAAGAAGACTGCCCGGTAAGAAGTTAACCGACAACTGAAATCAAGTGCAATCGTGAAAATATACTTAATCGTTGTCTTCGTGTCAACTCTGAACATACTATTCCTTTTGGATGATCTTACTTTGTAACTTACTTCCTTTGAATATTTCTTCGATTTCGCAACTGACATTCTCGCTTTCATTCATTGTTTTGTCTTCCCACTATGTCAATGTGAGGTGTAACAACATAAACCTACACGCAATAAGGTCACGTAATATGTTGCTGATAACTACCTGGTCTTATAAAGTATCAAAAGATATTTCGCAGAAAATGAGATGACTAAATAACGACCACATTCTTTTTTGTAACAAACAAATCTTCATCTTCCATAATGTCTTCGAACACAGGTACATTTCCCCGCATACGATACTAGCTGCATTCCCCGAACTGAAGGCAGTTTTCTACTCTCTCGGTTGGGATATCTAATGTAACAGTGTCACCCATTGAAAGTGGTGGCGGGAAAGTACATCGCTTCATTGGAAAAACTATATTTAAACACCTGTTTGTTAGAGGTTAGGTGAGTTAGATAAGTTAAGTGATGTAATTTAGTGCTGCTCACTTTCATCATTCATATTTTACCATTTCGTAGACACCTAGAGAAGTTTCACTCTCCTTATCTCACTTTACCAGGATTAACCTAATTACAGGAGATTCCCTAGTAGATCTAGACTAAGTAGAGGATGAGATCCTTTTAGATGAAAATGATGATAAGATAGTATTTCAGGTATCATGACTGGAAATTTGAGAATATTTGGAATGTGTTCCTCCCCACACAAACGTGAATCGTTGTCCCACAACTGGTCCCACTTGGTGCACGAGCTAACAATAGAGAAGTTGGATCAGGCCTGCTGAATCAGTGACTGATAATATCTCCAAATAGTTGCAAAAGGCTCGTTTGGGTTTTCCCGACTTACGCTACCTATCGTATCACCATTACACTGTTATTTATTAAGGATTGAGTGTACTGCGCTGTTATACGATATGACTGTGAAATACTATCAGTAAACGTGAAGAACATAAAGAAGCTTCAAGTGTTCTGCGACTGCTGACTTTGTAGCATGCGCCATGTGTCACGGTACCATCATGTCGGTAACCCAAGCGTCAGGCGCAGAGTTGCAGATAAGAGATAATTAAGTTGGTGAAGTTGTGAACCTCCATCGACTCAGATAGTTTGGTTGGGATATGTGTCATGCATGCCTGCATGGTCACCGTTTGTCCTGTCAAGCAATGTAACTAAATTAGTCGACTTCAGGATTACGATTTGAAAAGCTAGAAGTAAACAACTTGAGCACTGGCTAAAAATGGTTTATACAGGAAATATATTTGTGAAATTGCAATGAGGTAGAAAAATTAATTTCTGATATTCGGTAGGTCTAAACATTTGATAACTCGTAAGGATTTTATTCTTTGAAGAAGTGGCTTCCACGAAGTAACACCAAAAATGGAAATTTCTGATATGTATTTCTGAGATATTACAAATGTATTTCTATCAAATGAGCTAAGTTTCAGCTGGAAAAGGATCAGAGGCAGCAGGAATGAAAAACAGCACTAGCTCATGAAGTCTCTCATTGTTGTTCCGAATAGTTCAGCATAAACTTCCTAGTTTGGGCCCCCTGTGACTACTAAAATCGATAAGTGGAGGTTCCAGGTGATATGGTTCACAACTGATTTCAATGGCATAGACATGTTCACACATTATTTTCATTTTAATCGGCTTATCGAGTGCCAGTATGCTTCCACTTTTTCTTCGCTTTTTACGAAGTCCTACCACTTGTGATTACTCTCTTCCTTTCATCATCTGTGTGTCTACTACCTTGATATGGTGACATGAAGAGTGGCCACTTAGATCGCTCTGTAGTAACTCCGGACCCCATGTTGATAAAGTCTGATAGATAACAGTGAGATTAAAATTCTTTCATGAATATTAGCTATCTCAGATAGTTTCATTAATAATCAGTTATGTTCACTTATTGTTAGTGAAAGAAGTGGCTTACATTTTCTTGTGAATTTCGATCGTACACATTATTGTCAGTATCAGGAAAGTTCACATACTTTGTTGGATAACCTGTATTCCGAATAGGTAGTTGTTCCAAATTCTGAACGGCAGTGGGCTTGATATCGTTCTCAGGTATTGTAGAGTCGGTCACTCGTGTAGACGTTGGGAAGTTATACTGAGAATAAGACATTGAATTTTCATACTGAAGTGATTCGCATCCACCGAGAACGATGTTACGACATGGTGTTGGAGTGACAGGTGTAGGTTCGTATGGACCTATATAGGAATGGTTAGATTAAAATGAACATGTAAAGAACTATATGAAAGCCTACATACAAAGAAAGCAAAGGGAGAAAAAACCACGAAAAGCAAGGTAAACTAAATTCAGTTAAATAACCTTTCTCTACGACTGAAAATACAAATGTCAGTATAAGCAATGCACTAAACTACAGGTTACAAACAAAAATCTCATATTCTTAAGATATGAATGCTGAGGGTTGGGAAAAGCAAAACGACCAGAAAATAAAAGACCATAGAAAAATCCGATGTATATATGTGTAAGATCATAGAGACGAGGGCTTACGCACGTAAATTGAAGAAATTCAAATGAAGGCCCTTTGGTAATATATCAATTCAGAAGGAAGCTAAGGTAGTTGTAATGGAGGCACCTGTTTCTTCTTAACAAGTTCAAATTCAAACAGTTTCTGTAGGTTACAGGATTTGGAGTAGAGTCTTTTGGCAGTCTGATAAGAATTTGGCAAATAACTGATGATGATAATGATCCAGGAATCTACAAAATCTGATAAATTCCTTCAACAAATAATTTGAAATATCCAAGAGGGTTGACCAAAATGTACGACTAAGCATCCACGATTGCATCGGTTCTGTCTGTGTCGACGGTCTCTATCTGGTTTAGATGGATGCATAATGCTTTCACACAATGGTGGTGCCTTCACCTCTACAAAGTGCCGTACTACGTCAATTACATGTGCATCATCTGGGGATAACATGTGTGAGGCTGTTAGCAAGCAATTATGTCTAATGACCATTCATCGACAGAGATATTGAAGACCTAGTGAAAGACTGTGACAACTGTACGCATTCAGCCAAAATACCGACCAAATCTGAATTATCTTCATGATCAACCCCAGATACTCCATAGGTCGAGGATTCGTTTGACCATGCAGAACCGTATAAGAATCATCACCTTCTTATAGTGGTTGGTGCTGATTCGAAATGGTCAGAAACACGCATCACGGAGAGAAATACTACAGTGGCGACCGTACACAAGCTATCAGAGTTATTTAGTCAGTTTGGTATACAAGGAAATATGGTTCTTGCTAATGGTACCCAGTTTGCGTCTCACGGATTTGCAGACTTTCGAAACGCCAAAGAGGTAAATCGCATTCATATACCGCCAACTCATCCCCAATCTAATGGTCCAGCTGGACGTTTTGTAGACACGCCCAAAACAGCCTAGATAGAACTACAAGATGAAGTGGGCATTAGAGAAACACTTCAAAAATTCTTGTTGACATACACATCAACACCGAACCCCTCACTGTCGAATCACATGATGTATTACCAGCAGAGGCATTTCTTGGTCGTTAGCTCCAACTTGTTCTAGACGCTATGCTTCTCAAGGCGAACAAAGGTAGCATGAACAGAAGCACAGTCTCAATTTAATGAGAAGCACGGGCTAAGCCTGGGTCATTTAACCAAAGTGATGCAGTTTAAATTAAACCTTCCAAAAATGGTAGGCCATATTGGAATGTCAGGGAAACTACAAAAAACAGAGACAACATAGTGTATGAAGTTGGCATGGGAAACTACACGCTAGTCAGACATCTTATTCGCTTATATCCAGAATTCAGACAGACTTCAAAAAATAACAAGCAAGTGAATCAACCTTCAACTGATATCATGTCAGACTCCTTTTCATCACTATCCAGTCAGCCACAGAAGAATATGTGATATGATATACGAGGAAATCAGTAAGGTTGAAAAAGGTCGGGAAATAGCGCGCAGATCAACCCCTCTTAGGTATCACATGACACAGAAGGCATGACTCAAAATGGGGAGGGGGGGGAGTTGGTTCTCTAATCAAAGAGAATGAGAGCTATAACCAATCAATTGTGAATGTCCTCTATTTGTCTACCTTTGTTCTCATTCTTCAACATTCTCATTACGCCGTCTATGCTTCTAAGACCTTGTATACTTCCTAAATATTTTGCTAAATACAGATAACTGTGTGTTGTATGGATTAGCCATGTAACTTTATCTTCTTCCTGAGTCAGATGGTTTGATACTCGGGACTGCATGGTCCACTCGGACGTAGTAACTTGGGGAATAATACTAGTTGAAACCAGTGCTAGACATTTCTCTCAGTCTATTAATCACGGGGACTAATAGGAAATCTAAAGCAAGGTTGAGACCAGAACATCAGCCTAACCCATCCAACTAGAGATATAATATAGTTAAACTGATGGGCTACGGTGCTAGGTTTAGGTTTTGAAATACTTTGGTCAACCACTCAAACTGTGGTATACATACTTTTCTCGTCGTACTTGTTTTTAGCACAGATCAAGTCATTATCGACCAAAAGATCTTGAAGTCAGTCAGCCAGATCAACACCAAACTGTCACGTTTTGCTGACACACACAAATCTTGCTGATCATGCTTGATGCTGATGATGCAGAAATGAGTTGATAAAAAGACTGAGAATATTACACTAGACCACACCAGATTTTTTGAAGTTTGTTGGTGCGTGCAAGTAAGCTATGACGATAATTAGCCGATGAAGGGAAGTTAACAAGTTATACGTATGAATTATGAGAGCAAATGGAAGACTGTTAATAATACACAAGCAAACAGTCATATGACTAAAAACTGTTTCTAGTGACATCGGTATCCTTCAACTAACGACACCTATTAACTTAGAAACGCTAAAAGGTCAGCCGAAATTCACTTGTGTGGCTCCCAAGTCACTAACTTCATAAAGTGGTAATATATTTGTATGCAACTTCATGAAAATGAATTCAACTCACTTTTGATCCGGTCAAGAAAGAGGAGCAGGACAAGCAAGTCTGCTGGCACATGTACCACAACAGAGTTGAGTAGACTAACCAGTGACTTACTACACCAGGCTTACCGATAAACTGTAAAATTACTCCCGACCAAAAGCTGCTACCATGACGTGGTGGTCAAACTTACGCATCACAATGACCCAGCCAACCATATTGGTTAGAAAGCTTGTTCCTTGAGCTCTCACTATCCCAGGAAGGTCGCTTGGATAGTTGTAAGACAAAAAGTAGTGACCATTATAAAGAACAGTTGATAAACCTGCATTAGTTAGGATGAAGAGTAGTCATCCTGTGGTGTTTGGTTAAGGACATGTTGGTCTAAGCTCAACGAATATTAACTTATTCACAAAGTACTAAAACTATTGAATATTTTACTACTCTTCTAGTAATGAGGATTGAACTCACATGACACTTAGATTTGTTTGTTCTACATTTTCCGTATTCTTCAGGAGTATCGAAGCGCTAAATATCAATCAAACGTGTTCAGATGAATCAACTGCTCAAGATGGTGAGTTGATTTTGTCAAAATTCGTAGAAATCATCTCTTTCTAATGTTGAATACCATGAACCGGATATTCTTTAGAATTCATCCATCATCCTTTTGTAAGCACCGGAATTCGCTATCCAAGAGTATCCTCAGGTTGTCTAGTTGATGGAAAGACAGTAAATAATCGACCTACTCAACTATGAAGAACCTAACACTGGCTTTTTTGTGCCTTTTTCGGGAACGATGAACGACCGTTTAAGCAGAGATTATCAGAAACAGAATAACACGACAGCACTCAGTGATAGAATGAAGTTCATCAAAGAAACTAAAAAAATGTCAAAATATGTTTTGGGAACCATGTTTCAATTTCATTTTCTATTCGGATTTTCAAATGTTTTGAATTCCTCTCTATTTGCCTTGGTCGTACCAATTGATAGGTGACACCTTGACATGGTGGTCAGACTTGCATACCGCAATTACGCAACGACCATTGCTGATGGGAAGCTTGTTCCCTCAGGCTTTTACAATAGCAAAAATCTTTGTTGGATAGTTGTAAAACTAAAAGCAGTTACTATCAAAATGTAAATAGCTAAATAGCTATGTACTGCTGGCTGGACAGGAGTGTGACAGTAGTAAAGTGTTTCACAATGGATGGTCAGCAGTCAATCACTGATACTGTCTTGTCTACTGGAAACGGCAAGGGCTAGGAAAGGTCAGTTTAAAAAATGACACGTCCCCATGGTCTGTAGTTTTCCAGGACCGATGGGTAAGAGATTTTTATCAGGCGATAAAACAATCAAAGCTCACACCAACAATCACACCTGTAGGAGCTTTCAACGTGCGAACTCTACGTAGAACTGGATAGTAAGCATCGCTTGCCAGAAACCTGGAATGCCGAGCTATGGACGTATGGTGTGTATGAAACATGTATACATGACTTGAGCATGGTTGTTAAATTAACTTCACTTGACTAGCGGGGTGAATCTTCAAAATTCATCTTATGAGTATACGCAGACCCAATGTCTGGCTCTAGTGGACTCATTGGTGCAGGCGTAGCAGTGAGTTGTAGAGCAGAAAGTGAACTTCTCGACTGGATACCAGTCAACAACTACCTGTGTGCTGTTCGACTAATGGATCGAGAAGAACCAAGAAGGAATTTGAGGCTAGCCGACGCCAAATGATAATCTCCACCTGCGCGTACACCGGCTGTAGTTCGGATGATGCAAAAGGATGAATTCTATTAAAAACTAGCAGTCTTGCTGCAGAAAGCAAAACGTTCAGACCTATTGATAATAGCAAATGATTTTAACGTTCAAGCAGGGGAGTTGTGCAAGTTATCTACGGAATCCCTGCCAATAAACCGACAACAGTATTCATCTGTTGCACTTTTGTTCTAACAGTCAATTGTTTCTGGCCAGCACTAACTTTAGGCATATAGCTTCCGCTGACATCAAACCAACAATGCACACAGATAGATCATATTGCTGTATAAGTGGAGGATTACCGTTTTCTCTGGAGTACTTATTTGGACTCGGATCACGAGTTGGTACGGGCTTGTATGTATTTGCCCCAACTGGTCGTAGAAAATAGGTGTCAATTAAACCTGTATATGCTTAACTGGAAGAAGAGATCGTGAAGTACGTATTTACGCAGGGGACAATGGGGCATTTATCCGGACTTGACGGCAATGGTCATTCTGAGGAAAC